CGCGTGCGCAGCGTCACCGTCACCATGGGCGACGACCGCGGCAACGTGCACGACAGGTACCCCAAGGGGACCCCAAAGACACCCCAAAAGGGACCTCAAAGACACCCAAAAGGGACCCCAAAGAGATCCCTAAAGGGACCCCAAAGACACCCCAAAAGGGACCCCAAACAGGACCCCAAAGAGACCCTAAGACACCCCAAAAGGGACCCCAAAGAGATCTCTAAAGGGACCCCAAAGACACCCTAAAGACACCCCAAATAGGATCCGAAAGAGACCCCAAACTGGACCCCAAAGACACCCCAAAAGGGACCCCAAAGAGATCCCTAAAGGGACCCCAAAGAGACCCCAAATGGGACCCTAAGACACCCCAAAGGGGACCCCAAAGAGATCCCTAAAGGGACCCCAAAGACACCCTGAAGACACCCCAAATGGGACCCCAAAGAGACCCCAAAAGGGACCCCAAAGACCCCCCAAATGGGACCCCAAAGAGATCCCTAAAGGGACCCCAAACAGGACCCCAAAGAGACCCCAAATGGGACCCCAAAGACACCCCAAATGGGACCCCAAAGAGATCCCTAAAGGGACCCTAAAGACACCCTGAAGACACCCCAAATAGGACCCCAAAGAGACCCCAAATGGGACCCAAAAGACACCCCAAATGGGACCCCAAAGACACCCCAAAAGGGACCCCAAAGACACCCCAAATGGGACCCCAAAGACACCCCAAACACACCCCAAAAGGGACCCCAAATAGACCCCAAATGGGACCCCAAAGAGATCCCTAAAGGGACCCCACTGACACCCTAAAGACCCCAAAACAGGACCCCAAAGAGACCCCAAATGGGACCCAAAAGACACCCCAAATGGGACCCCAAATAGACCCCAAATGGGACCCCAAAGAGACCCCAAATGGGACCCTGAAGAGACCCCAAAAGGGACCCCAAAGACACCCCAAACGGGACCCCAAAGACACTCCAAATGGGACCCTGAAGAGACCCCAAAAGGGACCTCAAAGACACCCCAAAAGGGACCCTAAGACACCCAAAAAGGGACCCCAAAGACACCCCAAAGACACCCCAAAGGGGACCCCAAAGACACCCCAAAGGGGACCCCAAAGAGATCCCAAAAGGGACCCCAAAGACACTCCAAATGGGACCCTGAAGAGACCCCAAATGGGATCCCCAAAGAGACCCCAAATGGGCCCCAAGGACACCCCAAAAGGGACCCCAAAGAGACCCCAAAGACACCCCAAAAGGGACCCCAAATGGGACCCCAAATGGGGCAACTGTCCCATGGTCTGGGGGTATTTTGGGGGGGTCTCACCCCGTTTTTCCCCTCAGCATCAAGCGCAGCAGCTGCTACATGGTGTGGGGGTTAAATAGGGGAGGGGTCCGTGGTCTGGGGGTATTTTGGGGGGGGGGGTCTCACCCCGTTTTTCCCCTCAGCATCAAGCGCAGCAGCTGATACATGGTGTGGGGGTTAAATAGGGGAGGGGTCCGTGGTCTGGGGATATTTTGGGGGGGTCTCACCCCGTTTTTCCCCTCAGCATCAAGCGCAGCAACTGCTACATGGTGTGGGGGTTAAATAGGGGAGGGGTCTGTGGTCTGGGGATATTTTGGGGGGTCTCACCCCGTTTTTCCCCTCAGCATCAAGCGCAGCAGCTGATACATGATGTGGAGGTTAAATAGGGGAGGGGTCCGTGGTCTGGGGGTATTTTGGGGGGTCTCACCCCGTTTTTCCCCTCAGCATCAAGCACAGCAGCTGCTACATGGTGTGGGGGTTAAATAGGGGAGGGGTCCATGGTCTGGGGGTATTTTGGGGGGTCTCACCCCGTTTTTCCCCTCAGCATCAAGCGCAGCAGCTGCTACATGGTGTGGGGGTTAAATAGGGGAGGGGTCTGTGGTCTGGGGGTATTTTTGGGGGGGTCTCACCCCGTTTTTCCCCTCAGCATCAAGCGCAGCAACTGCTACATGGTGTGGGGGTTAAATAGGGGAGGGGTCCGTGGTCTGGGGATATTTTGGGGGGTCTCACCCCGTTTTTCCCCTCAGCATCAAGCGCAGCAACTGCTACATGGTGTGGGGGGGGGAGTTTGCGACCCCCACCCAGCAGGCCAGGGTGTCCCACACTGACCTGGTCATCGGCTGCCTGGTGGACCTGGCCACGGGGCTCATGACCTTCACGGCCAACGGCAAAGAGATCAACACCTTCTTCCAGGTGAGCTGGAACCCCCCCTGAACCCCCCCAGGTGAGGTTTGGGGGTCCCAGCCCACCCCGGGGGTCTCACGGCGGCGCCGTCCCCGCAGGTGGAGCCCAACACCAAACTGTTCCCGGCCGTGTTCGTGCAGCCCACCACCCAAAACGTGCTCCAGTTCGAGCTGGGCAAGCTCAAGGTGAGGGCTGGGACCCTCCCCAGGTGGCTGGTGGGGTGTGGGACCCCCAAAACCCCCCCAAAACCCCCCCAAAACAAAACCCCAGGTCACCATGAACACCACCGTGGTGTGGGATCACTGAGACCACCCCAAAATCCCCCCCCATCCCCAGGTCACCATGAACACCACCACAGTACAGGACCCCTGAGACCCCCCAAAACCCCCCACCC